CATATACAATTCTCACATAAAGTGTGCTCTCGGTATTTGCATATTCATCAGCATATTTTGCATAACATGAATTTATTTTATCTTCTATATTTTTTAACGCAGTCTGTAGAGAAGATGAAAGGTCAACTTGTATTAGCTCAATTTCTTCCCACATTTTTCGTTTCCCTTCAGATATATAATCTATATGAAACCTTACAATAAATGGAAAACTTTTATCTTCTACAGACACAAACTTCATTCTACGAAAGCCAATAGCTTTTGTGACGGATGGGTCTCTTAACCATCTTAACGGGTAAGTCAAAACGATAGCCTTCATGCTTACGGTCTCTGTCTCAAACTTTTGAACCTACATTAGTAAAAAGTTCATCTAATGGTTTAGTTGTAGCAACTCTTGAATTTTCTTTTTCTATTGGAAGCATATTTTATCTAGAATAAAAATGTCAAATGAAACAGCGTCTATGAGAGAAATACAACACAACCGACAACTCATTATGCAAGCTCTAAATAAGAACACAACAAACTTTTCAAACTATTCTAAGATATCTGAGTCATTGAAAGAAGGAAACTTAAAACTGACGATAAACCCAATGACAGATGAGTTTCTATTTCAAGACAATAGGAACCATACTGTCTGTGTAAATCCAACAAAAGGAACTTTAAACGAGAAACCTATAGATGAACTTCTTTTGAAGGCAGATATTGACAACAAAGCTGACAAAGAGTATGTAGACGATGCAATAGCAAAAGAAGAAGAAAGAGCTAACAACGCTTATGCAACAAAAGAACATACTCATCCTGAACTAGCGGACAAAACATATGTTGACAATAAAATGTCAAGTGAAGTGACAAGAGCTGACAAAGAATATTCTAAAAAGACTCATATACATACCATTGCAAATATTTCAAACTTACAAGAAACCTTAAACAGGAAAAGTGACGTTGGACATACACATACCATTGCAAATATTACAAACTTACAAAGAACCTTAAACAGGAAAAGTGACGTTGGACATACACACGATTTTTCGCAACTGTTGGTATAGAAAATATTGCAGGAACGGTTGAAGAACCTGATGGAACTGGTGGGGATGTATTAAATTGGAAACCTCCTAACTTTCCACAAGGTTTAACATCGGATGAAGACATAACAACGATGAAATACACTAGATGTAGAAATGTCTATGTCATGGAGGATGAAAACAATGTTAAATTCACTGCTCAAGATTTATATGACAACAAAGCTGACAAAACATATGTTAACGATGAGTTAGATAAGAAAGCTGACAAAACATATGTTAACGATGAGTTAGATAAAAAAGCTGACAAAACAGAGCTTCAAACGTTAAAGACAGAAATACTTCAAACACTATATCCTATAGGTTCTATTTACACGTCAATGAACTCTACCAAACCAGAAACAGTTCTGGGTTTTGGAACTTGGACTCAAATAGTCGACAGGTTTTTGTATTGTGCAAACTCTTCAAAGGAAACAGGTGGAAGTAAAACGATTTCAGGTGCAAATTTACCTGCGCACAGTCACTACATAAATTTAAGTACATCTGAAGCAGGTTTGCATAGTCATAGATTTTGGGATTGGTCAGGAATGACAAAAGGTAAAGGATATGATGTTAAAGAGGACGTTAAGTTTGCTATAAATTGTTACTGGGATAACACTGATGTAGGAGGAATCCATTCACATCGCGTTTCAGGGTATACGCAAACAACAGGACAAAGTAAAGACTACATGCCACCTTACATGACAGTTTACGCATGGTATAGAATTGCTTAGTCGTCATTTTCAACTTCTTTAGCATATTCGTCAGGAGTTGTCTTATATTTGTTAGGAACTGTCTTTGAAAGTATACCACCTTGAACTTTGACAAGTTTGAAACGAGGTCTGACAATAGTAGTTTTATCTTCTGCTTGCAGTCTGTACATTTTGCCATGTTTGCCTAAAACTTCATAATATTCTCTTGTATACTTTCTTCTATTTTTACGAACACGAATGTGAGTACCTGTCGAGTTCCCATTGTTGTCATAGTCAATAGTATTTTCATATGGGTCGCGTTTAGGTATTTCTATTTTTACTTTGTCACCTTTCTTAAGTTTGAAGCCTGGCATTCTTTCTTGTTTGTCTCTTTTGACTAAACTATTAAATATATAGTCTTTCTCTAAGTCAGGGTTGTTTTTCATTTCTTCGGGGGAGTGGTTTCCCAAACCTTTTTGTTTACGGCTATTGTAAATATTTAAAACTTGTCTCATCTTTGCCATGGAGAAATGTCTATATTTGTCGTCATATGACATTTCATCTACCTCACCACCTTGTGGTTGATTTAAGTCTCTTAAGATTTTTATACAACTGTCAATGACACCAAGAGCAGAATGGTTTTGGTCGACAATGAAATATTGGTTTACATTTTTTGAACGCAGATAGTTTTTAATATCGTCTGATTTGAAAGAACTTTCACAGTCAGATGTCAGTTTTGTTGGATGGTATTTGTCAACGAATATTGTCAAAGCAGTTTTCACATTCTAAAATATTTTTGGACTGTAATGGTATGGCTTCACAGTATCTTGTGTTTTTGACCAACAAATATTAACCAGTATGGAGGTCCATTTCTCTATATCTCGGAATGTTTTCCAAGATATCCATAAACCAAGCATTTGGTGTTGAACTAAAGATTTTTATCATGAGTGCTTTCTTTGTCGCTTTAGAAACATACGGGTCCTTGTTTGAATTCGTCATTTTTAACCCATAAGAAATGGGTTTATTTGGCGCATTAGCAGGAGTTGCATCCAGATTTTTGCCCGCAGTGGGAACACTAGCCAGAGGTGCATTTGGAATTGGAAGGAAGATTTGAGTACATTAGGTATACTGAAAGAGAAAGCACAGCCTATTATACAAACTGTACAGAAAGGTTGGAGGTAGCACGAGATGCAGCAAATCTTATTCCAAATCCTGAAACAAGAGGAAAAGTTCAAGATGGATGGACAATGTAGGAAGACAAGCAGGAAACTACTATAACAAAGCAAATGACTACTATAACCAAGCAGGGCACTATATGGACCAAGGTGAAAGATTCTTTAACAGAGGATATAACCATGCACAACAGTGGGTAAACAACAACCAACCTCAACCGCCTCAAACGTGGGGAATGTAAAATTTTTTACTGAGATGAAATGAACAATATAGCTTTGAGACAAAATGGGCTCAAGATGGATTTGTCGACTTCCAGGCAGTTACACAACCACGTGTTTGTCAAGTTTCTCCTATACCTCAGGAAGTTTTAGACCGACTTAAAAAACCTAAACAAACCAGTTGAAAAAAACCAAACTAAATTTTTTACTGAGATGAAATGACCGAAGAAGTTGAAACGGTAGATTTGACACCACAAACAAAAAAGTTTCAGAACCATTTCAAAACCTGTCAAAGAACTTACAGATGAAGAGAAAAATTCAATAATAGAAAGTGCAGGTCTGGAAATACAACCCTAACTACAAAGTCATTTTCATAGAAATGGAACGGCTAGTATCTCAAAAAAGAAACAGACTCTCACAAATAAAATATTGAAGTCTGAAGGAGCTTTCGAGACAACAGATGGAAAAGTTTACTTCACCGACCAACAGTTCATTATAGAACATCTCATTGACTTAGAGTCGAAATATTCTAAACTTTACAACAAACACAAAAAGTTGAAAGGAAAACAAAAACAGATGGCATATGATATTTATGAAGATGTTGACAACACAACTGTTCCTGCAGGTGAAGTAAAGTCAGAGGAACCGAAAGTGACGAAAAAACCGATAGAAGAAGAGAAACCAAAAACTGAAGATAAACCAAAACCAAAGTTTAGTTTGGAAACTAAACCAAGTCAACCTTCATTAGCTGGTATGGGTTGGCGTCAAAGACTTATGGCAGCAGGCGGTTATGTAAAGTAAAGAAAAAAATATTTTTTTATTTTTATAAAAATGCCCCCATATAGAATGGACAGAAGGTCTGCTAGAATAAAAGCAGAGTTAGAAAGATATGGTTGGAGAGTTTCGAAGAATTTTAAATATAGGAGGGAAGACCCATAAAAGTCTATGACAATTGTCTGGTCTTCGCTACGAAATGGAATTGGAAACAGCACGCGCAAATTATCCAAACAGACTAGAGAGGTTAGAAGAAGAACGTCTTATGGACATGCCTTTCGATGTTAGTGAACCTCAAGTTGAGGGACACGACGGCTTTGCCAGATTCTACTGGAAACATGACGAACAATTGCATCCTTTGAGAAGGAAAAAAGGGAAGGGTGAAGACAAACATGCTCCCATGGAAAGAACAAGATATGCATATGAGAAGTACCGTGAAGTTAGAAGTAAAATTACTTCTGGTCGAACCTTTACAGTAAACTTTGACGAAGGAAAGAACAAAGAAGGCTTCATGGGTGTACTTGCTGCAATTCAAGACGGAAATAAGAAAGGATACAATCTCAGACTAACCGTAACAGATTTAGATGGTCATATTTACTATGCACATGGCAATGTCACAACAGCCGCACAACTTCTTGACGCTTTCAAGACTACAAAGAGAGAACAAATGGTTGACTCCGACTCAGACATTTTGAAGCAATTGAAGGAATTGCAAGTGTCAAGTTCGAATGGTACCAACCTAACCCTCAAGCAGTCAGACAACATGCTGGATACTTCCCGTTCATAAATAAGTCTGACATTGACTTGACAAGGTATGGAATTTACAATTCAATTGAAACAATTGTCAATGAACCTTGTATTCTTACATGTCTCAGGAACTCTGGTCTTGTTACAGAAGAGAAGATGAAGTATCTTGAGTCATGTGTGAAGACAAGGTACATTCTCAGAGGTCAATTGGCAAAAATTGCACCGTTGGCAAATGTCAATATCCGAGTCAGCATACCTACAGCTAAAGGTTCTTCACATGACGACTATGTTGTTGACAAAGACTTACCATGGTTGAAGATTGTAATTGTCCACAACACTTCATGTTGAACGAAAGTCTTACAAACCCATTGTTCGGAAAAGGCAAGTGCAACATTGTCAGAGCTGTAAACATTCTTTTCGAGAAAGGTTTGTTGGAACCAATTCCAGATGACAAGCTGACAGAAACTTTTGTACCAAAAGACGAAACAAACTTTTCACTGTTAGCAAGACCAAAAGTTGTTCCAGACAAAGTTATAGCACAAAAGAAGTACACAGTTCCAAAAGGAGTTGGATTGTTCGGATACCAACCTGAACCAGAAGAACTTCCAATGAGGTTGCAAGAACTTCAAGATGCTATAAACAAACTTCCATTGAGACATCCAATTGACGTCAAATTGTATTGGAGAGCATCTGAGTTAGGTCAGAAGGTTTTATATGAAACAGGTTGCTTCGACGATGTTTATGAGATAACAGGAGAAGTTTCTCAGAAGATAAGAGACTCACTTGAATTTCCACAAACTGGACCCATAGGTTGCGACAAGTTTGACTCATATGAAAAAATATACTATGTCGACCTTAACGCCGCATACATGAGGTTCGTCCAATATATCCCGACTGGAATTCCAAACGAAGATGGTGAGTTCCCAGGAAGGAACTATACAGTTGGAAAAGTCATACAACAACTGTATGATATTAGGAAAGCTTCAAACCCCAAACTTGCAATGACATTAAAATTGCTTATGAATTCGACATGGGGGTATTCCATTAAAAAACCTCAAGAGATGAAGAGTAAACATTATGAGAAGGTCGACAACTTTGTTGAAAGGTTTTCTCCTTTTTGTTTTGAAGTACGAATTCACTCAAGGTCAAAGTGGCTTAGTAACCACATTAAAACCTATTGTCGAACATTGGTCTTACCCTCAGTTCGCAAAGGCAGTCCTTGACAACTACAACAAATTCTTCTCCGAAGTCAAATCCAAAGTGAAGGTTTACTATGAGAACATTGACGCACTCATGACGAACGAAGAAGGATACAACAAACTCATTGAAATGGGTATGGTCGGTGAGAAGATGGGTCAATTCAAATTGGACAAAATTTTCACCGAAGTTCATGTAATATCGAAAAGGAAGTACTGGGGTGTTAAAGAAGACGGCACAGAAATAAAACATTGCATGAAATAAAAAATTTTTATTCGAATTTGAATCGGACAGGTCGAGTTACACCATTCTTGGTCTCAAACTCATATATAACCTGTTTGTCTGTATTTTCGTCGACTATGGCACGAGACACGAACATTGACCAAACGTACAAAAAGTGTCATTTCGGATGGTCAAGCAGCCAATCGCATTCGAGCACTTCGAAGAAGCCTTACGTTCCAAGGAGAGGGTGTCTGGTGCAAGGGAGAGGTCATGAGACTCTACGAGCAGTACATCCTCAATGCCTGGGAGGACAAATCGTCCTTGGATTGGCAAATTCTACCAACTCCTCTGGGACGACCTCCTACGCAACTGGGATGACGAAAGAGTCCAATTCAAAGGTCGGGAACTAATTTTGCAAATTGACCTTAATTTCACATACTTATCCAAATAAACACCTAAATTTACTTGGGGTTTCCCCCTAAAATAAAATTTTTTTACTCTTAGAACCACTCGAGGTTCTCCTTACGGTTGTTGAGCTTGTCACCGTCAATGTGTCTGACCCTCGTCTTCTTGTCTGGATTTGGAACCCATTGAATTGCGACAAGCTTGCCCATGGAGATTGAACCGCGATTCCGAAGGTTAAGGTTCAAGTGTCCCAAGTTGTTGAGGACTGGGGTAAGAACCTTGCCTGTCTCCTTGTTGCGGATTTGGTATGGGTAGGGTTGGGAAATTTCGTAAGTGTCATCGGCAACAAGGGTTGCCCATGTAGCGGCTTCAGGAACTTCTTCTTCTTCCTCTTCTTCTTCGTGTTTCTCTTCTTCCTCTTCTTCCTCGACAATTCCTTCTTCAATTCTGTGTTCACGAAGTACGGTGTTGCATGTTCTGTCCTTTCCGAGTACCTTCCAGATGGCGTCTATCTCTTCGAAGAAACGGTAGATGAGTCTGGCAAGGTCTCGGTTCTCTCTCGCGTAAATGCGCAACGATTCTGAGAAATCGTTCAGGCATTTCTCATTGGAAGCTTGGTTCATGAGGACATCGGCTTTGAGATTGGTCATCTCTGTCATAAGACTACTTTGGAGAGTCTTAATGGTGTTTGTCAGATGAGCTTTCAATTGGGCAATTTGAATTTGAATTGGGCGCTTGTCTGGCAACCTTGAAAGGACATCTGCCATTGTGTTCGGCTTCGGTGCTTGTTCGGACATCGAAAAAATGAAGTGGTTTGAGAATGGCGGTTTTACTTCAAAAAGCTTGTTATGACAGTTATGTCATACAACAAGTTTAAAATAATATCTTGTTCTTCTTCTGAACGTTTGTTGTCTCTTCCGATAAAAGTTTCGAACATGAGAACCAAAAAACGTTTTTTGAGATTGCGGAAGAGTTCAGGCAAACGTTCATATTCTGGATATGTTGGGAGCAGTTCAAAACATCTGAGCTGACTTTCGGACAAAATTGGGACAATGTCAGAAAATTCATCTTTGGTCGGACTGCTTGAAGGTAAGTCCCTTACATGTAAGTAGCTCTGGTAAAGTCTTCTCATTTCTGCTAACTTCTGGAGTATAGCTTCGTATTTAAGAGTTTTAATTTTAATTGTCTTATTCCTCTTTGACATCTAAACGGTAACTATCCATGAGGTCAAGAGTAGCTTTGGTAGCTTTAAGTGGAGCTATCTGTTCCTTGACTTCTGCAATTTTGGTTGCAATTGTGGTTTGAGCTCCTTCAAGTTCGCCGTCTATGTCGTTCTCAACGCCTTCAACCATGGCTTGAAACTCTTCATCGGTCCATTGAGATTGGTGTGGGACGAATTTAACTTGCTTCATTCAAAAAATGAAAAAAATGTTTTTACTCAAAGCGTGCCATGTATATGGCTATAAGAAACTTACCAGAAGGCTTCTTCTTCACATGAGTCTTTGGCAACTTGAGTGTTGGTGTTGGTGTCGGGTCTGGAATTTCAATTCTCTCTCGAGCGCAACAACAGATGTCAGAATAACATTCCCCACTGTCCTTCTTGCCACCATAAATTGTGTATTGACCGAACTTGCATTTGCAGGAATACCGGTCAATACAAGGTTCACAGTTGAAATAGTTGTACACAAACCTGTTGAGTACGAGTGTGAGTAAAAACATAAAAAAAGTGAAGTTAAACGTTAAGGTTTACTGAACTGGCTGAATGTCGCCTTCACAGGTTATGTAGAACGGCTGTCCTGAGAAGTGTAAGAGAGACTGAATTGCCAATTTCATATGGGGTAGGGGGTTCTCCTTGTTTGGTATTTTTATCCAAGGACGTTTGTTTAGGAACTTAACAAGAGCTTCTCTTTTGGCGTCCTTTATGCCATCGTAGGCTGTCCCGTCTGGTATTTGAATTGGAATTCCAGTCGAAGTCTCGAGCTGAAGTGTAGACCTTCCAGAAATAGTGGTGAACTTGACCTTGGGCTTCATTACCCTGCGCAAGTACTGCTTAACAACTTCATTTATCTCTATAAGGTAAATTGCCTCGTCAAATCCTTCTGGTATTCCGAGTCCTTCCATCCGACAGGAAAATATTTTCCCGACAACTGGAAAAAATTTTCCCGACGACAGGAAGAACTCTTCCAGTTGTCCGTCCGTAAACCATTCAAATTTTCGAAAATTGAGAACTTTTGGTCGAACTTCAGAAAAAGTTTTTCCTTCCGACAGAAAAAGTTCTTCCTTCCGACAGAAAAAGTTCTTCCTTCCGACAGGAAAAGTTCTTCCTTCCGACAGGACACAAACGGATGACTGACGTTCCTCTTCCTGAATGCCTTCCAAAGCCAGAAGAACCGAAAGCTGCAGAACCACAACAGTCTCCTCAGCAACCTCAGTTCCAGCAAGTCCCTCCACCAAATTACTACCAATTTCCACCTCAAGGTTACTACCAATTTCCACTACAAGGCTTCCCGAACTACCCTCCTCCTCAGCCTATGCCTTACTTCCCCAACCCTTGGATGTTCCAGCAAGCTCCACCCCAATTCCAATCTCAATCCAAGAGAGACCAAGAGTTCGAGGAAGGTCTGAACCGTTTACGCAAAGAGTATGCCACAGCCCCTATGGAAGATGACAGGCTTTCAGTCTCTTCCCTAAAGTCGACCAATTCGACTCGTACCACAGATTCGGTTCGTGACCGTGAAGACTACCTCAAGCAGTCTGAGAGACTCTTCATCCTACAACCATTTACAGTTGGAGCTCTCAAGAACATGCGCAATTACGAAGGTCAGACACCAGCTGGAGACCGCAAAACAGACGTACTCGCAAGAGCAGTCCAACTGGTCAAGACAAAGACTGAGATAGTCGACTTCATTCTTGCAGCTTGCCCATACAAGTAAAAAAATAAACAATTACGAGTTAAACTTTTTATTCTTTCTTTTCTGAGTTGTTTAGAGCTGGTTTCTCTTGTAGGAACCTTTCGTACTCTTCCATGGTCATGTAATTGCGAATTTGGTACGCAATTCCAGGTTCGTTGTTTTTGAACCTTACGTATGTAACGCTTCCATCTTCCTCAGGGAAGTAAGCTGCTAACATCTGACCAAGTTTTCTCGGTGACTCGGAGCTCATTAAAAATGTCACTTTTTAAACGTTAAGTTTTTAGTCTTATTTTACCCTTTGTTTACCCTTTGTTTGTCAAGGTAGTATTGGAGTGCAATTTCTCCAAATTCTCTGTGTCGGAGTTCTTCAGCATTTTCCAAGGTGTACCTGGAGAACTCAAAGAAGTTGTCAAGAAGATACTGCCATGCTGCTCTTCTGAGTTCGTCGGTATTTTGGAAGTGTTGCACCTTCGAGTCTTCGGACATGAAAAAATAACACTTTTTCTATTAAACCGTTTTCTAACATGGTCTAAAACTCTCGAAAATCATGAAATTTACACCAAAAATAATGTTTATGTTAGAATGTTAGATCTAACATGTTTTCTAACACGTTTTCTAACATGGTCTAAAACTCTTGAATTTTCATGAATTTTCCCGAAATAAAAAATAAAGTTGGTTTTTTTTAAAAAATATTTTTTATTTTTATTGTAAGAACATGTTAGCAACAACAGCACCAAACTCGTTAGTCATGAACCCAACTTCAATGTTAGTAGAGATGAAAAGCTTCATTCCTTCTTCATATACTTTCGAAACAAAAATCCAGAAGATAAAGCAAGAACTTTTAACAAGTAATTTAGACTGTAGTGCGAAAGATGAAACAAATGAACAGTATCTTTATGAAATGCAGGATATTATTGACCATTTACCTAAACTTCCTGAAATCCAACAACAAAAGCTTACTATTCCAGAATTCGATGAAATAGAAGTCAAAGCAACTGACTCAGTAGAAATAAAGAAGTTCATACGAAAGGTAAACTATGAGTTTCTAGGATTTCATTGCAACCATAAGGTTATGGACAAAGATTGCGACATGGTATATAAGAACATCTCTGACCTTTACAAATCCGAAGAATTTAAGACCTACGACAACTTTGTTTCGTTAGTTGCAAAATGTGTTTGGGAAATAAGAGATAAAGATAGTAGGGGTAAGGTATGGAACGAACAAATAAAACCCGCTATGTTCGAGATGAAGAAAACCATTGACGCCTTAGTTGTTTTAGCAGGTAAGGTTTCAGAATATAACGCAAAAATGAACCCACAATGTTCTAAATGTAAAGCAGCAATGAGGAAATATAACTACTCCGTCAAAGAGATAGAACGTATGCGAAACGACTATGCAGATTTAAAGAAAGAAGCAGAGAAACCAGCAGAAGATAAAATGGACATGTTGACATTTCTAAACAAAAACTATCCAACAGCTGACGATTTCCTTCTATCTGACGTCAAGAAGAAGTATAAAGAAACTTTCGGTATCGTTAAAACTTTTGACATACTGACAGAAGAAATAGAAGCTACGAAATTGTTTAGAGTCATGAACCATCGCAACATATACCATGTAAAACGCTTGTAAATAGTTATGTTAGAAAACATGTTAGAAAACATGTTAGATCTAACATTCTAACATAAACATTATTTTTGCTGAATTCCGTATGAAATTTCATGAGTTTTGTATGTTTTAGACCATGTTAGAAAACATGTTAGAAAACATGTTAGATCTAACATTCTAACATAAACATTATTTTTATTGAATTCCGTATGAAAACAGTGAAGAACAGCGAGTAGTGAAAAAACCCTGGTCGCCAAAACATTTATATTTTTACGCTTGACTTTTTACAATTTGAACTTTGTTTGCGTAGATATGAATTCTGAAAGAAGTATGAGGGTCTTGTATGACTTTGTACTTCTCCCATAGTTCATGTCTGTCAAACTTACCTGCCATGGACTCTTTCATAAGTTCCATGAAATCGTCTTCGGACAATCCAGGGAAAAGTATGATATCAGTAAGTATTCTCTTTACATCCTTACTTAAACTCTTTGCTGTCTGTACACAAATGACAACTGAGATGTTAAAGTGTCTGAGCTTCTTAAGAATTCGACACATATCTTGTTCTCTGTTCTTTAACAAAGGATGAGAAGCAAAGTCATCTAAGATAAGAAGACATCTATGAGGGTACGTCTTCCAATCGTAAGATTGCAATTTCTTCGAAATGTATTCTATCTCTTTCTGTTTGTTTCTGAAGTGTTTCTTCTCTAATATTCTCTGCATTTCCTCATTTGGGTCTTTAAACTTAGAATTTATATACTCATTTATAGCATTATACTTCAAAACTCTTCTTTGGTACTTCTTTATCCAATCTAACAACTCAGTATCCTTTATACATACTAACTTAGACTTCTTTATAATATCTTTGAACGAATTGACGGTTTGGTCAAATTGACCAGAAGTACTACAAATGACAACTAACTCATAGAATGGGTTCTTCTCATCTAGTTCTTGTTGTTGTGCAGCCATTTTAAGATAAGTGAAAGTCTTACCCGACCCAGGTGGTGCGATTAGACCTGTTATACCATTCTGAGCAAATAAGAACTTGTCATGTATGGGTTTTATCTGAGCATTTTCTAACTTCCTCTTGTTCTTGTTTAAAACATTCTCAAATTTCTTGTCAATGTCAGCAAACTTTTTTTCTAACATATTTTTAGAAAAATTAAAATTTTTATCTTTTAGAAAATGTCTAGCGATTTCGCTATCTATATTCGAGACAAGCTTTTCGACAGCAAAACATCTGTCGACCATAAAATCTTACATAGTGTAAACAAGAAAGGTGAATTTGTTCTAAAGTTCTGTTTCTGGGAATATGACAAGAACCATAAAACATTACAAAGAGCAGTCTTAAAATTTGTCAATGACAGACTTGTTGACAGAGATGACGCCGATTGGAAAGATGAAGTCCAACAAAAGTTCTTAGAATGCAAAGAAGACACATGCGCTGTTCTTGAAGATGAAATAGAAAACAGAATAGAAGAGCTATTAAAGGACAAAGAACTTTTACATAAATATGGTTCTGAGAAATTTGACATAACTCCACCAGAAAGAAGAAGAAGAGAGAAAAGAAAGAAAAGAAAGAAAGAAAGTAGAAGAGAAGAAAGAACCTGAACCAGTTCCAGAGAAAAAGAAATTTGACATGTAAAAATAAAATTTTATTTTTAGAACATTTCTGGGTCAATGTCAATGTTCTCTTCCTCTTTAGGAGCAAACACTGGCTTAGACTCTAAAATCTTTTTACCCAATTTACCTTGAACTTCAACTATCTTAGACTCATAATATTCATAGTCGTCTGCTTTCTTTGGTTCATAAGGTATAACAAGTTTGTATGCTTTGCCTTCTTTAAGGTTTGAAACCTTCTGTCAAAATTTTCTTTGACTGCTAACAAACCTTCTATGTCTAAGTCTTCAAATTTCGCACCATTTTTAGTCACAATAGCAAACTTAACTGGTTCGATGTTCCAAACTTTGTCAAATGTAGACTTTTCAAAATGGTAGAAGTAAACATTCAAATATGCGAATGGGTCTAGTTCTTCTTTGACTTCTGTCATGTACTTGTTTACTGAGATAATTTCGTCATCTTTTCTATCGGATAAAAAAATATTTTTTTTAAAATTTACTCAGAAAAATTTTTCTTTGTATATACGCCGTTCTGAACATCTAAAAGACTTTTGACATTTGCCAAGAATGTTCGTTTAGAAGCTGCCATATAACCATATCTTGACAATATTGTTTATACGAATCGTACAATGACCTTTCATCTAAACACTCAAAGTCAGTTTCATCTATGAACAGTTCATATACACTCTTGTTTGCTTCTAACAATGTTTGTCTCTCTTCGGTATGTGGAATTTGTCTTGGATTGAACTTTGAAATATCTAATGTCATGAAATATGAGAACAAGTGGTTGTAAAAGTCAGATGTCAAAGTTTCTGCTAAGTCGTCAAAATATTCTGTATCTTGCATATGAGAATCTGACGTTCTGACAACTACATATCTTCTGTCAGAACTTTCTAACTTCATCGGAACAGCATTGTTTGAAACCATGAAATTTGCAACATTTTCACAAACTCTTTGGTCTTTATATTTTCTTTCAACAACTCCAACTTTGTCTGTTATAAGACTCTTCAAAGCATCTGAGTTCAAAACTTTTGTTGTATCTATACTTTGAAGTTCGTTACATACTATAAGTTTCATATTCTCTATTGAAGAGTTAAATTTACCGCAGATGTTTTCTAAGTTTGTCATATTCGGGTTCGAATAGCCCTCTAACAGTTTGCATAAGATATCTGTAAAGAAAGTGTTCTTACCTGTTCCTTGTTTTCCAATTATAATGAGAGCAGTTTCATTTTTAGCACTTGGATATTGTAAGATATTTGCAAACCAACATAAGATATACTCATAGACTCTTTCGTTTCCATTGCATATAATTTCTTTGACATGGTCTAACCAAGCTTCTATAATATTTTCTTTCCATTCTACTTGTTCGTATTTATATCCAGTGAAGATAGAATAGAAGTTTGGAGAAGGTGTATAGAACTTTATACCACGAACTGAAAAATCTTCTAACTTTGACAATAAGATATCCCAAGCATCTAACATCTTCATACCAACTTGTACGACTTTTATTTTCTTAAGTTTCTGTCTACATTCTTGTTCTGAAACTATTGTTGCTCTTGGTTTGTTAAAGACAACATCCCATTCTTTCATGACATAACATTCTGGGGCAGAGTCGACATAAATGACTAAACGTTTCAAATTCTCGACTGCTTTGTTATAGTCTCTAAATGGACACATATTTCTGAATGCTTGGAAGTCATAAAAATCTGAAACATCTATTCTGTACATTTTTATAAAAATAAAAAAAAATATTTTTTTTATTCTTGACTTTGTTGTTGCATTTGTTCCATTTGTTGCATTTGTTGTTCTTGAGCTATTTGTTGTTGAAGTTGTTCTTGTAATACAATACTTTCACCAGTTGCATCTTCCAATTCGAAACTTTCTGCCGTCATTGACAAATACATAGGACATAAAAGTTTTACAGGAACAAAGTTTGCGTCAACTAATGTCAACGTTATACTTGCCAAAGTGTTTGAGTTCACTAAGGTTGAAAATTCTGCATTCGAATGAACAATAGGCAAACCAGCAGAGAAAGTATTGTTTATACGCATAAGTATCTTTTGGTCATAGTAGTTTCTGTCGACATTCGAATAACACTTTGAACCTAAGTTTGAAACAATATATAAAATAGGTGTACTTAAAGTCAATGGAACAGACATTCCTTGTATGACACCTTTTCCTGTTATAGGAAACTGTTGGTAGTAAAAACCAGATATAAGTTTTGTATTATAGCTCATATCGTTTATAGTAAACTCAGTCGGACATCCAAACATAATGAAACCTGCTCTAGTTGCAGCACATGTTACATCCGTCCTTAAAGTATTAAATAAGTCAACAAAACCTGTTGGTGGTATATCTGAGTAAGTATCTTCAAAGGAGTATTTTTTACCATTCACAACAATAAAGTCTTCTGGTGTCAAAAGAGCAAAACAGGCTTTAGTCGTCATTGTGTTTAAGGTTAGTTTACAATATCGTCCTTGAGGACTTTGTAAGTTTGTTGTTATAGAATTATATGACTCAGGGTTTTTAGTCGTAATAGTATAAACCATATGTCTTCTGCCATTTACTTAGCAAATAAATTTTAATGAAATGTTGTGGTCGTCAAATATTTTTATGACGTCTGGGAAACTATATTTTAAGTTCAACGTTTCACCTCCTTTCATAACGTATATCTTGTCAATGACATTATATGAAACACCACAGCAACTAATGTCGGGTTCTATTTCTTTGATGTTTATATCGTCTGCCTCTGTCAAAAGTTTCAATAGTTCTTTCAAAATTCATGAGGTGCAATGACATATGAGTTCACTTTTACAGGGTTGTGTTCGACCAAGTTTAACATTATACCAAAGCTTGACAAATCTTCTCCTGAGTTTTAAGTTTGTCTTTAAGTTGTTGGTAGTCGTTTCGAATATCTGCAACAGAACTTAAGTCTCTGCTAACTTCAGGATATGTTGGTTGTTCTTTTACAGGAACTATTGTTATACCATCTTCGTCTTCGTATGGTTTCCCCACTTCAACATCTCTTTCTTTGACATTGACAACAACACTTTGACTGTTTGTTTGAGTTGGTGAATTTAACTTCACATCTGCCACCGCCATTAAACCTTTTGAAACACTTACGCTTCTATTTTTCGGAAATGACATTTTACTTAGAATAAAAAGATGGACGTATTCGAGTATCTCTTCGAATTGAAGCAAAACAAAGTTTACACACACAAACAATACAAATACATTGACAGAATAGTTCTTTACACAAACAATGGAAAATGTTATAGAATAGCAGTCTTTGCTGAACCAAAATATTTTCATAAAGCAAAGAAAGTTGGTATAACTGAATGGTGAAAGTTCTTGAAGCAGACAAAAATATAACAACAAAACTGACCGATATTTCTAAAGGTAAGTTTATAATACAATATTATATCAAAACTGGCGTACTGTCAATATTTGACGGAGAGAAGTCAGTTCAAGAACAACTTACTGACCTGCTGCCAAAATCTGCTCGATGGAAGCTGTCGTTATGCCAATCTGAGGAGCCCCAGCAGGTTTCATCGAACGAATCTTCAAAAGAGCATCTTCCGTGAAAAGTGCTATTGGTTTTGTAAACTTCTTTGCTTTCAATTCATCTGGACCGTCTCTGTCACCAGTATATTGTATTTGAACTGTACCAACAGTTGAAATACCACCCATAAAGTCTTCTGAGTCAGCAAATGGAATGCCAAGCCAAAAGTTTGAACGGTCTCCATTTGTATATTGAGTTTTTTGACCTCCTGTATGAGTCCATACTTTCACATATGGCATAATAGAACTTTGCATTTCAGGGTTAATGGTTGTTGTGAAGTTGTTGTTAAAGTTCATAGCATCTAATGTCAAGTTGTATGACCTCATATCCTCAACTGTAGAATATTCTTCTCTTGGATAATATTTGCCATCTATGTTTATATGATATTTAATACCAGGGTTGTAGAAACAAGAATAGTCATTTATAGTTCGTCTGAACAGTACAAACATAGTATCTGCATGTTTCATTGCAGTTGTTAAAGCAATATCTGTTCTTGCACCTGGGTCAGCACTTTGGTTTCCAACTTCACCTGCAAAGTCTTTGACAGATATTTGGTGTATAGGGAACATAAGTGGAACTGCAATATATTTGGCAGCTAAAGCATTTGAAATATCTGGGTCCAACATATAGACTGCAAGTCTGCTTTCTATTCTCTTGCATTCAAATTTTTCGCATGTGAACTTAACTGGGTCCCAAGCATTCCAGCAGCATTGAAATAATAGTTTACTTCAGTGTTGAGGTTTGAGAAACCAAAGTCTAAGTCAACTTTGTCTTTGCAAAAGTCGGCGAATGACGTTTTATTTGTCCCTACGTCTGTAAGAGTGAATGGGTCTTGTGTTGGTGCAATGACTAAGTTATTTTTGCTTGGAGTAAGTTCGATAGAAATTTTTCCTGCCCAGTTTGGCAAGTATCTTAAAAACCTGAAGATGAGGAAAGATGACAAAGGAACTCTAAGTTTCAGTTTTACTTTGGTTACTGCTGCTGCAGTTTGTCCAGAAAGGTTAACATAAACTCCTGGAACGTTAGGGTCAAGTCTTCTTATTTTCTCAATAGTTGCATACTGGTCTGTTTGTTCTCTAGCTTGTGGTTGTACTGAGTTTCTCAAAGCGAACCATTCATAGTTTGCCCATGTTACTGTTTGAACTAAGTCAGAGTTAGAATATATCTTATATCCCATGAAAACTTCTGGAGCATATTGGTATCCGACATAGAAAATTCCATTGCAACCTTTCTTGTCAGACAACTTGGCAGAAGGTTTTATTTCAATGTCTTGTTCCACGTATAAGAAAGAGTTGTCAATAGAAATAATATGAAACCTGTCGCAAGCAATATCTACTGTTGTTGAAGAACCTTCTCCAAACTCACCTACGTTTCCATAAGAAACAGCAGTTGTATATTCGTAAGTTCCAGGAACTATTTCTGACCTTCTAATGGCATTGTCGCATTCGTTATACCATTCGGAAACATTTCCATTCATAGCATCCAAAACTGTTGGCGTTATATTCTGAGCGGCGTACATTTCATATGAGTAAAAATATAGAATAGTTGGATTTATATGTCATAATAGAACCCACGTGGACCAAGCTTTACTTTCTTCCTGACTGAGTTTTTAACTCTTCTTTTTCCTTCATTGCCCTCTGCTTGAAGTTGTTGCATCTTTGCCTCATGTTCACCTAGTATGTTGTAAATTTCCCATGTCCTTTTTGCCTTTGGGCTCTGGTCGCCCATCTCAGGTAACCTATATCCTAGAAAGAGTTTGTCATAGTTTGTATTTGAGTCTTCGCGTATTGTTTGCATGACTCTTTCCTGAGTTTCCGGTTCAAGCTCTTCAAACAGTGCTGTCCATATGGAATATGCTCGTTTCCAAATATATGTTTTTGTAGCCATTCTGGTTTTCTTTCCATGTTACCAATATATCTTTTGTGAATGGGAAAGCTTTTACCCAATCTTTCAGTCTTGCGTCGTTTATTTCTGTAGTTGGTTTTATTTTGTCAAGGAACATGTTTTTCAATACTAACATTTCATTTGGTACTGTCCATTTGAGTTTTCTTAAATATTCATCCCTTCTCGTTCATTGTCTGCAAAGTAAGTTTTTATGACATTTTGTAAACTTTCGTTTGCAAGGTCATGTACAATAGGTTCTCTTCCTTCTCTTCCCTAACTTTCTTTCTAAACTCTTCACCAAATATACCATCTCTATGGTTCTGTGTAGTTCTTTGAGATAAATGTTCTAGAACGTCAGGTGTTATATTTCCATCAGCCATGTTCATTTCATACTGGTCAAAATATCTGCATGTTTCATATCTTTCAATGGCATTAAAGCCGCGCTGAAAATACCAGCTATATCTGGTTCACCATTCACTTCCATTGCGTCTACAACTTCTTGGAATTGTGGTTGTAAGTTTATGAACCACCTATCCGGATTAGCTTTATGACCCCATCTCATTGTAGTTCCATAGTCTGCAGAAACAAAAGTAGGTTTGTTTCCATATTGGTTAGGTTCTGAATGAACTTTAAACAATGTTTCATTTCTATATGTTTTCTTGAAATTTAACCTTTTATTTTCACCGAGTTCATCCAAAGATTGAACGTTAATGCTCGTAAGTAAAAAGGGTTGTTGTATTTGTGTACATTTTCTTTCAGTACTTCCATTCTATGCTGAATATTTTCATCTGGTGTTGGAGTCTTTTGTATGTCGGCAAACATTTTTCGATATTCTTCTACTATGTCAGCTGAATTTTTTTTAGACTCTTGGAAATATTCCATATTCTCCGCATACTCTTGTTGAGGGTCAAGATTTTTCGGCTGTTCCAAATCTTCATCTAGTTCTGTGAAGTTAGTTTCCAAAGGAGGGACTTGTTCGTTTCCTTCAGGCTCTTCTAGCTGTTGTTGCTGAACTATTTCTTCCATGTCTGGTTGTATCTGAACTTTCTTCCTGTGGAGTTTCTTGTACCTCATCTGCTGGCATTTCATATATTCCGAGACCGTTTTTAACAATTTCCCTATCTAAGTCATCCGCATTCATAAGCTTTTGTTCTTTCGTTCCGTCTCTATTTTTTACGCGTTTCATGAAGAAAGTTGAATTGTCATTTAGCTCTGACATCAAATATCTCGGAGTAAATTCATCCATGTCATTTGGATGATATGCTATTAAATCATATCCCTT